GAAGGCTGAGGCAGAAGGATTGCCGGAGCCCAGCAGGTCGAGGCTGCGGTGGCCGCTCCCGGCCACCGCACTCCAGCCTGGGCGACAGAGTGAGACTCCAACTCAAAAAAAAAAAAGAAAGAAAAAGAAAAGATAAGGAAAGTCACGATTGTTTAGATTCCTCTAACAAAATACAAGACCTGGTGGCGTCCCTGAGGTGTTCTGACTCTGGAGGTGACATTTTCATTACACTTCTTGCCAGGCGGTGACAAATGTGACTGAGTATGTTGCATATTCCTAACAACCACAAGGCACCAAATGCTGCCGGGTGGGTCGCGAGTTTTGCGGGCCACGTGGGCTGACCAGGCGAGAGCACATCTGGGCGTGGCACGGGGCTGGTGGCACTGGCCTCTCTTCTGAGCCCCTGAGTGCATGCCGGTGGTGGCCCGCTGGGTGTGGTGCTAACAGCCTCTTGTTGCCTTTCAGCCAAGTTACATGCTTCAGTCTGAAGAACTCCGGGCCTCCCTCCTGGCCAGGTATCCCCCCGAAAAACTCTTCCAGGTGGAGCGGAACTTCAATGCTGCTCAAGACCTGGACGTCTCGCTCCTGGAAGGGGACCTGGTGGGCGTGATCAAAAAAAAAGACCCCATGGGCAGTCAGAACCGCTGGCTGATCGACAACGGAGGTAAGAATGTGCATGTCAGAGGAGTGCACCTAACTAAATGAGGAAGAAGCCATCGTGGCTGTGCCCGGGTCCTTTCTAGGCCAGAAACAAACAGGAGAGCCTCTGGCTGCGTGAGAAACTGCTCCAGAAGGTCATCCAACTCTAGAGAGTGCAGGGCCACATCATCACGGAACAAAGCCCGATTTTGTGCTGACCAGTTCCAGAGGAAACCTGCTATTATCTTGCGAGATCTTGCTGTTTGACAGCCCTGAACTCTACCTGGCAGACGCTGGGCCTTAGGCTGTTCTGACCATGTACACAGGCAGCAGTGCCTCTGGTTTCTGAAAGCCTGCCTGTGGGCGAATTAACAACCCGTGGAGCTTTGTTTTCTTTTTAAGTCTCCTCCCCATAACAGTTTTACCTCATGACTATCTAGGGAATGACTTTAAAAATAGCTCACGGCAGCCGGACATGGTGGCTCACGCCTGTCGTTCCAGCACCTTGGGAGGCCGAGGTGAAAGGGTTGTCTGAGCCCAGGGGTTCAAGCCCAGCCTGGGCAACTTGGCAAGACCTCGTCTCTATAATCAAAAATTAGCCAGGCACGGTGGCACACACCTGTGGTTCCAGCTACTTGGGAGACTGAGGTGGGAGGATCACCTGAGCCCCGCAGGCCGAGGCAGCGGTGGCTGTGAGTGTGACCTTGCACTTCAGCCTGGGTGACAGAGGGAGACTCCAGCTCAAAACAGAAAACCAGCTCACAGGGTTGGGGGCAAGAGGAAGGATTTACGGGTTTTAAAGGAGAATACGAAGGACAAGCTGACCGATGGCCCCTGCCCCGCATTCCGCAACTCCACAGAGCTCTGAAAAGCTAAGCGTTGTCTCAGATCCCATTTGCCAAGACCTGAGCAAAAGCGGGTGGGACTGCAGAGGCGACTTGTCCCTCGGGCGAGCAGCTGTGTGTGGATCTGGGAATGCTCCGTCCCAGTCTGGTGCAGCAGAGAAATTGCTCACATGTGGATGGACGCGTCCCGCTCCAGCCTGGAGGCCACAAAGACGGGTCAGAACTTGACTCATCTGTCAGTGACAGGAGACACCGTCCAAAGTCTTCTTGTTTGGAAGTGACCCACGGTCGTTTCCATGTTATGGCGTACAGGGTGGTGTTCCAACACGTGTGCATGATGGAGAGGTCCAGTCTGGGCCGTCAGTGCAGCCGTCTCTCTGTTCCCTGTCTTGACGTAGCCGTGATGCTCAGCTGTGTCACCTGTTGTGTAATAGCACGCTGGCACTGACTTCTCCCTGACGCCCTTGGTACCCACGACCCCTCTGCCCACCGGCAATCCCTGGCCCTGGAGTCCGCTGGCCCACTCTCTGCTCCCCTGAGAGCAGCGCTCAGACTCCCCGAGTGACGTCAGCCATGCGCGTCCTGTCTGGCTATTTCACTCACTCTGCTGCAGGTTCACCCGTGTGGCCGCAGGAGGCTGGGCCAACACTGACGGGTTTGCTGATGGAGTGCGGACCCACTTTCAGAGCACATCTGGCCCTAAGCCTCTTGGATACAGCTTGGGCCCACACAATAAACTTCTCACCCCCCAGCCAGAACTGAACATTCTAACATTTCTTGGTTTCTTTTTTTTTATTTTTTATTTTTGAGTTGGAGTGTCACTCTATCACCCAGGCTGGAGTACAGTGGCATGCTCACGGCCGACGCAGCCTCAACCTGCCGGGCTCAGGTGATCCTCCTGCCTCAGGCCCCAAGCAGCTGGAACCACAGGCATGTGCCGCCACGCTCGGCTAATTTGTTTTGAATTTATTTATTATAGAGACGAAGTGTCACTATGTTGCCCAGGCTGGTCTCGAACCCCCGGACTCAGGCAGTCCTCTTGCCCTGCCTCCTGGAGTGCTAGGATTACAGGCGTGAGCCACCACGCCCAGCATCTTGGTTTCTTCTAAGCATCTTGTGGGGTCGTTCTCCCCTCCCCACTTCCAGTCTCTGCTGTTGAGTGAGTGAGAATTGTGGGAGAGGAAGGAGAGAGCATGAGCCTCTCAGGTGACAGCAGGCGACAGCTCCTGGCGGGTCAGAAGAGGGATCCCTCGTAGAGCTTCAGGCTATGTGAGACACTGCCCCGCCCCTGGCGCCTTTGTGCCCCTTGATCCTGGGAAGCACGTTGGCAGCACCCAGCCCACCATCTGACGATCAGTAGTGGGAGCCTCCCGCCCCAGCCCGTGTGCCGGGAGCTGCCCCCTGTGCTCAGCAGGGGTCTGCGGAGGGCTGCATGGCCATCTTATCCTCACGTCCAGGAAACATTGAAGGTCGGGAAAGAGATGGCACTTGTTCTCCTGGGGGATACATACTCTGGGCTCATGTCTTGACGGATTTTTTTCTTAGTATCATAAAAAAAATTAGCCGGGCTCGGTGGCTCAGCCTGTAATCCCGCGCCTTTGGGAGGCTG